TGTTCCCAAACACGAGACCGTAGTGAGGTGGGAGGGTCTTCAAGCTCTGGCTTCTCTTTCGCTTTTGATTTTCCAGCTCTCTGCAGCTCGCTGCTCGTCACTCAATAGCGTCCGTGCGGAAACTCGCCTAGGAACATTGTTCCGCTGCGCTTAATATCGCGCTAATAATACATTTATATCATTTAATAAAAATACCGAATACCGAAACGGTACGCAAGTGTCCCGAACCGAACAGGCCGTACCGAAACGGTTCAATACATACCGTGAACCGTTACACCCCTAGTATGCAACACTTTATATTTGTATTTACTCTTAGTGCAAGTGTTTTTTAAATTGAAAAAAATATATATATAAATGTTCAAAACACTTCAAAATGATCACTTGTACAACAGTCCAAAGAAATCACAATGTACAAATAATAAATCGTATAAATACAGCTAAGATTCTTTTTTTTATGTTAACATAAACTATTTTACGTTTTACGCATTGAACTAAACATGAACTGGAAACCAAATCTGGTATCTGTTTCTTTCAGTTACTGGGAAGCCTGGCATTGTGTGCGGTTTACCAGTATCTTGTACTCTGAGTGAGTTTTGCAGATGTGCATCTCTGCAACTCGCTGCTTTTACTGCATTCAGTGCGCTGCTCTGTGGATAGTTGGTAGCTTGTGTGGCACGTCGTGAAATGTCTCTCCACGTTGTGCCGCTTGGCTGCCGCCGCCACAGTCGTCGCGCAAATGAGACAAACACACGCTCCTTCCACAGAGGTAAAAAAAAAACCCTTTACCTCGCATTCGTCGCGAATAATAAACAATCTTTTTATGGCTCAGTCGTCTCATTTCCGCTGCGGTGCTTGTTTGTTTCATCGTTTCATTGTAACATCAAGCTTACGTGCTACACAAATAGCATTCATATTAAATTAGATTCAGGTCACTGGAAAGTGGTGCTCTTTGAGCTATTTTTTGAACAGGCAGCGGGAGACTCATGTGGTCCTCACCGTGTTGTTGACCCCTAGTGTACATGGTTTTGCTGTCGTTATTAAAATGTTCAACCACTTGATGTACAATGTTTTTTATCAACAACTGTACACGTGTAACGTGTTTCTTGTGCAGAGCTATCATTCACCGCCTGCAGAGACAAATCATGGGGTGGGGCACGCCACTCCCCGCCCTCAAGCTAGTGATCGTTGGTGATCCTAAGGGATTACGCCTTTTTGCTAAAGAATAAAGTCAAGTGCAGCCGACTTCCCAAATGGGATTTTCAATCCAAGCAGGAGATCATTTTTAAAGAAGACACTGGTGTCAGAGACTCTAAGAAGAAAGGCGAGGAACACTTCTACAAACAAGTTATTGATTCATTTCCTAAAACTTCATTTTATAATTATAATAATTTTAGTGCTTTTTGTATGATACAGTTTGAAAAAAAAACATTTTAAAGAAAACAAGTAAATGGTTGATAATCAAAGGGTGAATAAGCTACTCTGTAATGAATTTTTTTTTTACATTTTTTAAGTTTAGCACAGAAAATCCCAATAAACATTACAAACTGCAGGAAAATGCATACACCATTTCAATAAGAGTGAAAAGTAGCTTTTACATTTTTACATATATTTATTATAAATATAACATCAGTGTCTCACCAGGCATGAACCTCACCACACGTCAGGGTTTCGGCAAGTTTCACAATGTCAAATTTATGAGTTTTTAAGACCTTTTTTGGGTCAAGTTTTAGAGTTATATCACACTTATCTAACAAATTGTCATAAATTAATTATAAAATCTGTAAAATAAAAATCATTGTTAAAAAATAGCATCCAAGCTACTTAAAAATGGAGCTGCAGCTTGAATAAATTGTGTAGAGATGGAAAAATAATAACAAACTGAAAACATTTTCTGCAAAAAAAAAATAATAATTATATATATATATATATATATATATATATATATATATATATATATATATATATATAAATTAGTTCTGGTCGTTTGTAAATGTTTCTAAGTGTGTTAAACACGAGGCTATATTGTGGATAGTTATTGATCTAAATTTTTATGTGATTTAAAATTCAGATTTTAAACCACAAAAAAAGTTATTCAGACCTTTACATGCAGGAATGACATGAAATCGAACACGAACTCCTTAATTTAAAAAATTATTTTATAAAGAGCGAATCCATTGTGTTATTGGTAAACGGCTAACAATGTAAAACTGCAAAACAATGCAAAACATTTTTTTGGGGGGAGGGTGAATTCAATTAAATTTTCGGACGTAAACAAACTAACATAAAATGATTGTTTTCATAATTTTAAAACTTCTTTGTGGTTGATATGGCAGCCATCTTTGTTAAACAACCAAATGTGCCGGCTCGTGCAGAGCATGCTAGGAAATCTGTCTCAAGCACACTCAATCTGAAGTGTGTTTAGTTAAGACCTAGAGACCTTTGAGACTTTTAAGTCCTAAAATTTGGGTTTTTATTTTTTTTAGGCTTTTTAAGACCCAACGGAAACCCTGACTTTCAGAGATGTTTCAAATTTAACGTCTAGAGAAGTATCTATTTATCTGATAAAGGATAATCACTTAAAGAACGCAACAAAGACTATTTTTGCCTAAATGTGCATCAGAGAGATATCTGCTCCATCCATTTAAAAGCTTTCAAAGAAACTCTCCTGCCTGCATCAGCTGGAAAATTATTACCATCACATTTGTTTGTTTAAACATATCAGGTAATTCACATATTGTGCTTTTCAGGCTGAAATTTTGCCCTGTTTGTTTTTTTTTTTGCCTTATATGAAGTGCTTTAAATCAGTTATACTAGTCTGAGTCCAGCCTGGGTTTGATGCCAGTGTTGCTTAAAAAGTCTAAGCTAACATTTCTGGTTATTTTTGTTTTAACCCCACTTGGCTACTCCAGTTTAAAAATATTAAAGTTACAAGTACACAAAACTCAACCATTTACTCAATAATCACCCCATACTCCAAGTCCCTTCAATTGACATCGCTATAGAAACTACAAAGAAGAAAGCAAACGATTATCATCTGCATGACGACAAGAACAGCACGGCAAACTGAACAAACGCGTTCCCATGGCAACCGCTTCACCCCGGAGACCCAGGGTCCTTGGTTGCTATGGAAATAGCGGTCACCGTTCAGAGGTTGTCGGCACGGCTAACAACTATGCGATGATCATGTTAATAATAGAAATAGAAAGATAAGATTAGATAATATAATAACAATATCACATAAAGTGAAACAGGTTACTATAGACATTATCCCGCAAAGAAAAACAGATAGCAAAACACGCACGAGGGAGATCTGCACACAATGCTAACATTAAGGATAAACAACACTAATTTTAAACAGTTTGTTTGGAACTCGCCTGGTTTGTGTCGAATTCTTTATTCCTCATCTCTGGGTTCAGGCCCCGTTTCCATATTCATCCCTTAAAACAAAACGTTCTTCGGCAAAGCGTCACATTTATTTGCGGCGAGGTGCAAAATGTATATGAATAAGAGACTCACAAAAGCATGCCACAGACATCTTTATATATTAATATTCTGCACAAACAGCGAGCAGGAATGTGATGGAAACGTGAAGAATGCGGGGCAGAAAACGGGCACCATTTCCTGGGCGTGAGCTCGAGCGCTGATTGGGTGAAAGGACGTCACGTGACAAATGCATTACGGACGGTGGGGAATTTTTTTTTTTAATACATTTTAATATAATATGCAGTGCTGTTACATAATGCATAGTCAGTTACATCCAATAAACCAGCATAGTTTTGACGGGGGATTTAAGTTATATGCTAGGATTAATCTGTGGGATAGCGACAAATATTGGATAATGTTTTTCGCAAAAATGACACAGCGCTAAATTCAATAATCTGTAAATCTCAGTTTTAACCAGGGATGTGGTTTGGCACCGTATCTTTCTGGGGATTGTGTGTGGCTCTTTTTTATTTCTTCAGGTTTACGTTCTAAATTCTGCAAAGGTTTTGGGCAGTTGTGAAAATGCTGTAAACCAAGTGTATTATATTTTAGTAAATTATAATGACATTTTTTCTTACCTTTTTAGCTGCAACGCTCTTTCAATTCTTACAGGTACACTTGCACAGTCGTTTTTTTTGTAGAATTCATCCATCAATTTTACCAAAGAGCTGCTAAAGATCATCAATGTCAAAAGTAGGTCAAATCCCAGTCATGACCTGAGACAGAAAAAGCTGTGTAGGAGGCTTAAAACCAGGTGAGGAACAGCCAAACTCTGCTCTAAAGGTGAGGATGAGACAATTTCCTCGTCGTGGCAAGATTGGCCACAGGATGTAGTTCTACAGCATTAACAGGAAATGTGCCAGACAATAATATTAAAGCAGTCTGACATTTGTCAAAGATACTAAATAATAAGTGACTGCAGGCAACAATGAATTGTGGTGGGAGGCGTATGACTGGCCCCAAATACACTTTTAGAAATGTGTTGACTTTATTTTGCATCTAATGCCATTTTATATTTCTGCTGATGAAACATTTAACAATCCAGTAACTTAAATTCAGTCATACTCCTGTAGAAATCGACAATTTGACGATTAGCCATGACTCAGCCTTTTTGCTAACTGAAATTATAAAGTATTATAGGAAATCTGCTATCGATTGAATAATAGTAAAGAGTTAAACCTGGAAATATTTCCATTTCTGAAACTTACAACAGAAAAATAGAACAAGGAGCAGATCTCGCCGCAAAAAAAAATTGTGATTAGGAATCACTGATAAAACAAATGCATTTATCCCTACTTGAAAAATATCACAAACCTGTTTATATATGTTACCATCAAAGATTGACCTGCGCCATTGTCTAGAAGGCTGAAAACCCACAGACGCAGCATGAAAGGATCAAGATTTTGACCGAGTGCCTGTGCCTTGTAGCTCACACATTCCCAAAACATCAGTGACCCACCTCCGTGCTTCACAGTGGGGATCCATGTTATATACAGTCAACAGTCAGAAGTCGAACAGTTTTCTGTGGCTCAGTTGAAGGAGCATTGCGCTAATAACACAAAGGTTGTGGGTTCAAATCCAAATGAAAGCAAGAACAGGAAAAAAAAATAAGTCACTTTGGATAAAAGCGTCTGCTAAGTGCATAAAATGTAAATGGTAAAACTGGGAAAGTGATACTGAATTTTTTTTAGGGAGGACAGTAAAAATAATTGATTTACTTTGAAAGCTGTAAAAATACATTTGAATTCATTTATTTGCTTTCAAAGAAGATCTAATTCCATAGCTTGAGCTGTTCTTTCTCTCTTAACCCAAAAAAAAACCATTAAGCATTAGTTTCAACTGATCAAACACTAAAATAAACAAGTCTAAATATAATTATGGCGAAACAAGGCAGAGAACAATTAATTTTAAATGCAGTATAAATGCTGTTTTTCGCTAAATGGCCACTAGAGGGTAGTATAACATGAGTACTGTAGTATCAAAAGATGTTAAATGATTAAGGAATTTCTTCCATTACAGGTTGCAGATACTCCTGTATTTCGAAATGGTTAGATGAAAGAATAAAAATCAAAAACATTCAAAACCAACAAATCATTGTAACTGAGTTATAACAAGTGGATTTCTGCTGGGGTCAGAATTTTGGAGTCAACAACACGAAAGCATGGATCCATCCATCCTGCCTTGTATCAATGGTTCAGGCTGGTGGTGGTTACGTAATGGTGTTTTGGCACACTTTGTGTCCATCATCGAGTTTATTTGCCTTCCCTTTATGATGACAGTGTCCCTATCTCCTGATGCTACTTCCAGCAGAACGCTCCATTTCATAAAACACGGATCACCTCAGACTGGTTTCTTTAACATGACAAGTTCACTGTACTCAATGGTCTCCACAGTCACCAGACCTCAATCCAGTAAAGCTCCTCTGGGATGTGGTGGAACGGCAGATGTGCAGCCGACAAATCTACAGCAACTGCATGTCAATATATATCATGTCAATATGGTGAAGAATGTTTCTTGAGGAATCGATGCCACAAATTGTGACATAAGCTGACGGGAGCATGTTTAGAGAGAAAACAGATTTTACTGAACTATACGGTCGAGTAAACAGAGCTGAAAAACACAGGACAAATCCCCTTCTTTAACAGAATATCATTTATTGAAAATGTAAACACAACATGACTACCTCTGATTACACGCTCCTCTAAAGAAAGGATATCGATCAGCCGTGTTCATGGAGGAGCTCGAATTTGGAGAACCAGAACATCTGAATCGGGACTAAACCAGATCACACTGGCACCGCGAGAACGTTTATTCACACGCACATGAGTCTCAAAGAGCGGAGAAGTGGTCGTTCGGACCACTCTTTAGTAGACCTTTGTTGTGCATAACTAGATAAAAATCGAGCATTCTTACAGTATGGAGAATTTAAGCAACAAAAAGCCTTTTAAGAATTATTGCATAAACTGCAACCCTCAGAAACGAAAGAAGTGCTGTGCATCGTGAAAGCCAGGTGCAGACAATTCTACATATTGCACGAAAAGAATGTATAGCGTTCATCAGCTTTGACCCCTTTTCGAAAAGCTCAAGAAGACTCTCACCTCATCAAAACACTAATAGATCATTTCACACGCTTCGTTCTTGGCGTAACTAGTTGGTATCGTTGGGGAAGCGTAAGCAATTAATAACAATATCCCAGGGTGTCTAAGACACTCGAACCGTCACAATAAAAGAAAAACGAATGCTGCGACCAGAACCAGATTTGCTTCGTCTAAAGGAATGACTGGGAGTTTTATTGAGGGTTGTGCAGGGTTAATAAAAACCTTGCAGTGAATCGCAAAAGGGTCTCAAGGAACAATTAATTTCACGGTCAGAGGACCTGTGAAGAAAGTTAGCCAGAAAATTAGACGAGACTTGCAAGTTGCTGCGTGCCTGCGCCACTCGAGGAAATCCCCAAGCTCTCTCTGATGCATTAGTTCGTTTTATTTGGCGGAGAGAAAACTCTTTTTTTGTTTCCCTCTACCAGTTTTGGTCATGAGAACAGCCCCGAGGCGTCGATTCCTTCACTCCTGGGCGATGCTCCGGAGAACGTACTTGACTGTGTAGGCGAAAGCGGCGAAGCCAACAATAACGAACAAATTGGCGAGAGCTCCACCCAGAAGTCCATGGTTTCGGTTTACCTGCTGGAGGTCAGGGGCTTGGGGAGCACCCGCAGGGAGGTGGCCGTTCAGAGGAAGGTGGCCGTTTTGTGCATTGTGGACTTCTCCATCGGGAACCACGTCTGGAAGGGGCAGCGCCTGCGAACGAGAACGGAACTCTTCCTGCATTCGCTGCTTCTGCTTGATTTCCTGGTCGAAAGGGAGTGTTAGTACAGCGTTAGTACGTTCATCGAAAGACTGCGCAAACATTCGCTTGGAGATACGTACTTCGACAACGTCGGGAAACAGTTCACAAAAGACTTTGTCCTTGATGTTGAAGGTGAGACTTTGAGAGGCAAGCTGTCGTTTCTGAAGGGAAGGAAAACGTCAACAGAAAGAGTTCATTTAATTTGAAAACAAAGAATATTAAAGCTCTCTGACAAAACACTTAAGCCGTTTTACCAGGAACCAGAAAAATACGTGCTTTTAAATCGTTTTCTGAATCTCTTGTGTTTACATTAGGATGAGAATATGAAAGCTGATACCGTGTTACTTTTCTCAGGTTGGAAGGAAAAGCATGACTACTTCCTGTTGATCAGTGACTGGTCACTTGCTGAGCTTGATCCTCTCCTGTTTAACGTGTAGCGTTGTGCTCATAAGTTTATTTTGGTTCGATTTTGGACTGATGAGCACAAAAACGGACACAGAAGGGTTCGAGGGGCTGGTGTTTGGAATCAATGTTTGCAGAAAAGGTTTCTGAGTTTCTGGCTCCTGATCGACCCTTGCCTCTTTCATCTAGTGATGCGCCAACATTTCTGAGCTCTGAGCGATGGGGAAAGCAAAAGAGCTGTCGAAGGATCTACAGGAACATGTTTTTGAACCATACAAAAATGATATAAAAAGACTGGGAATGCCATCAGCAGTGTTCAAAGGAAGAAGTGGAAAATGAGGGATTCCACTGAAACCAACAAACATTTCTGCTACAACTGCCAGAAAAAAATAAACAAATGCCACAAATTAGCCATTTACAATATGCCAAACAGCTTAGAGACAAGCTCCAAACTTCTGGAAGTTATTTGGAGCGATGAGAGTGGGGAAAACCCGCTAAAACATTGTGTTATCTAGTATTTAGTAGTCTTTATTTCCATTCCAGCCAATTACAAAATAAAAGTCACAGGGGTCCAGTCTACCAAGCTGATTTCTCTTTGGTTGATGGGGCACATTTTGGAATTGAGCTTTTAAGTTTTTTTTTGCTTAAAAGGTGCACTAATAGTGTATTTTTAGAACAACCAACACAGCACTGACTAAAGTCTGAAGACTAATAGGATTTTTTTAGCCAGAGTCACTTTTGCGTTCTGTGGGCACAGCTTATTCCAGTGGAGCACTTTTCTCTCTTGAATCAAGGTTTCAGTAAAATGGAGATAGAAAAAACCGCCAATGTGCTCTTTCAAAAACGCAACAATATGTGGCCCCTACCTTTATATGCAAGCCCAGTGGGGCCCTGGACGAAACTACCAGTAGATTACAGTAGATTATATCTCTCAGGGCGGGTCATCGAATGAGTGAAAGTTACAACAGCTTTGCCATTTCGTGTTTTCTTCCATGCCTGGCTGGGTCACTTCTATTGGGCACACGAGGACAATCGTCCCAGTTATAGAATGAAAGACATGACACGCGACGCCCATTGCATCCATTGGATGAGCCAGAAGCCTACAGGTGGAGAGAGGTTCCCGCCTGTGTTACTGTACACTTCTCTTCTAAACACCACACGCACGCACACGCGCCCGCCCCATTTTAAAGTTGCTGCGATCTCCGTGCATCAGCTAAACGCTTGAATTGAGCTTCAATCCGACATTATATATATTACACAGCTACAAACATGTCTTTTTCAAAGCATGGAGTGAAGAGAAACGGTTGGAAAAGTAGGAAATACAGTATTTCTTTGTTGAGCACAGGGGCACCCCGACGTGTTGCAAAAAATATAAAGAGATTTGAAAACACATCGTGGTAGAATGCCCAAATTATAACTTTACGAGAAGAAGGTTCCTGACTGGACGAGAGCTGAAAGAAATCCATGTTAACCCAGAAGAGTAAGTTCAGACAGGTGCTGGGATTGGAAATTTTAAAGATGAATCTTTTCAACTTTTAAATTGAAATGTTAGCTAAATCTTTAATTAAATTGCCATTCAATCGCATGAAAAACACAAGAAAAGAAAGAAAACAATGGATTTTTTTTTATAGAACGCCCTATTCCATTTTATGAGACCACTATTCCAAGCACTGGCTTGCTCCTATTTATCCATTGTTTTTGTATAGAATTTAAAAATGTTATTTCCATTTCTCGTAAAGATGTGGCCAAATGTAAAGCTTCTGACTGTGGCACTCACTGTAAAGTCTGAGGTTTCGATGCTACCCAGAGTCGGCCCTTTCTCCACCATGAAGCTCAAGAGTCCAGTTAGAATGGTGGACACAGACCACGCTGGGTTCCATGTGTCGGGGTGAAAATCTGTGATGGAGAGACACAACCTGAAAGAGAAACACATCATTCTGCTGAAGTTGCCTGGTTGTGATTCATTAGGAGTGGATACTGATTGGGTGATGACATGATCAGACAGAGGTAACATACTGCAATAATCTGCAGTGTCATCAGTATCACAGAAAAAAACGGCTTTCAGGTAAAAACACAATATTTGTGTATATGTGTAATTTGTATGACAATAAATGTGAATAAAACCACAACAAAAAGTTTTAATATGAATTTCAGTAATGATGTGCTGAGAAACTCACTGGCCACTTTATTAGGTACACCTGCCCAACTGCTTGTTAATGCACATTTTTAATCAGCCAATCACACGGCAGCAACTCAATACATGGTGAAGACGATTTGCTGTAGTTCAAACCGAGCATCGGAATGGGGAAGAATGGTGATTGAATGTGGCAAGGTTCTTCAGAAAGT